GACGTGGAGGGCGAAGATCGGTGGAGAAGGGTAGATTTGTTGTCATGACTCGAGGAGATCGGCGCTGTGGTCAAGGGTCGAGGATGCGACGTTGCTGTCATCTTTGGAGAAGATCGGCGCCGCCTGTCCGCTTACTCTGGTCGCACGGGGCAGGGATGAGTTTGGTTATGCAGGGACGGAGGATTGATGCATGAACTTTGGCAGCCAAAGGTCATGGAGGATCAATTAGCATGGTACCAGTGGTACGACCTCCTCCTGAACCACCACCATGGGATGCACGAGGTGTTAGAGTTCGTAAACGTTTTTCTTGTAGTTTTTATCTGTTTGTTATTTGTTTTCTTGCGTCCATTTTTGTTGTTGGGTTTGACAGTTTGTTTGAGTTTTTTGCCTCTCTTTATGTCATTGAGTATGGTTGGATCTATGGGAATAGTTTTGGCTATGTCAAGCCCACTACATGATTAGCGATTCGTGTTGCTCTCTCACGGGTGACCGTCTCAAAGTCTCACCATAGGGTTACAATCGTAGTTGTTGGAGTTTCAGTTGGTGTCTGTTTTATTTTCCCTTTGCTTGATGTAATGATCCTGATGAATCTTTTGATATGAATAGAGGCATGTTTTGATGATAAAAAAAATATGAAATTAGATGTGTGTCCTCAAGTTAATGTAGATATGTTAAAGATGATAGTGGTAGTAGCTATTTTAAATAAAGGTAAATGTAATTTTTAAAACTTTTTCCAAGATTTACTAAAAAATAAAAGAAATAAAATAAAATTAAATATATATACTTTTAAATTCATATCCTTAATGATCATTTTACGTCTTAATAGTTAATCACAAACAGTTAAATTACAAACATTTTATTTTAAACCGCCAATAAAATTGGTTAGTTTAAAAAGCTAATGGAATCCGTTTAGATCAATCCGCTGATTTAACCGGCTATTTGATAGCTAGCAGACAATTGGTATTATCAAACACGATTGTTAACATTTTTAGTCCTCCACTTTTCATGACAAAATCAAAATAGAAGAACTAAAAATGTCGATTTCACAATACCTGAAAATGTCAGGAATTTAAAGGCGAGAACCTAAAGTGTCTCACTCATAAAAACCTGCCGCTCAGCTGCGATAACAAGAAAAAAGCAAAACAAAAAGTCATAAAAAGAAAGAAAGAAAAAGGTGGGTGGAGATAAGTGGGGATAGGGAAAGAAAAGACATGTACTTTTAGGGAGAAAACTTCATGTCCAGCCGGCCTGACGGGAACCGCCGTCCGGCAGAGGGTATTTCGGGCACTTCCCGATCGAATTTTTTGATGAATTTTTTTGAGCATGTTCTTCATCAAGTCTAGTTTATTCATAACAAATTTAAGCTCAAAATTCGATCCGGAAGTCATTCAAATCATTTTTTGAAGTTGACTGCGTTTTTATATGTATATTTTGACGCAGTCAACTTCAAAAACTTATTTGAATGCCTTCCCGATTGAATTTTGAGCTGCAATTTTGTATGGATAAACTAGACTTGATGAAGAATATGCTCAAAAAAGTTCATCGAAAAATTCGATCGGAAAGTGCCCGAAATGCCCTCGTCCGGACGGCGGTTCCCGTCAGGCCAGCTGGACAAGAACGAGACTCTACTTTTAGGTGCTTATAATTAAATGCAAGACAAAAACAAACACCTTCTGAGAAGAGGAGAGGAAGCAACAAGCCGCACAAAGAAAGAAAAAATGTGTGGTGTACACAAAAGTTATACATTTTTTGTATACTTGTCTGTCCCCCGCAGATAACTTGTCTGCGTGGGACACACAAGTGTACAAAAAAAGTGTACAACTTTTGTGTTCACCTAGCTCCACTCCAAAGAAAGAGGACAGACAGACGGTCGGCTGGGAAGAAAAAAAGGCAGCTCGCAAAGAAAAAATCAATGTTATGTACACAAAAGGTGAGAGATTTGGCGCTGTCCTCTATATACACAAATAATTTCTGTCATTTTCCACATAAAATGCTTATGTACAATGACAACTAGATGGTGTACATATATTATGTACATTTTGCATAGTCGCTTGCGTACACAAATAAGTACCGCATTTTCATTTTTTAAACAAGTTGTTTGTGTACATAAACAACTAAGAGGTATGTAGGCATTTTGTGTGCACATTCCGTACGAATATAATTTTTCAAAGAGATAAGGGTCAGATAGAGTCTCGAACATGAAAAAAAATGTCAAATAAGGCCATATTTAGGATGCTCTGTCCGGCCGACGCCATTTGGGGTGGTTCCCGGTAGAATTTTTTGATGAAATTTTTTGAGAATCTTATTCATTAAGTCTAGTTTACTCATATCAAATTTGAACTAAAACTTTAATCGGGAAGGCATTCAAATGAATTCTTGAAGATAACTGTACCGTTAAAAGCGCAATTATCTTCATAAATTCATTTGAATGCCTTCCCGATTGAATTGTTTGTTCAAATTTGATATGAGTAAACTAGACTTAATGAATAAGATTCTCAAAAAAAGTCATCAAAAAATTCCACCGGGAACCACCCCAAATGGCGTCGGCCGGACAGAGCATCCTAAATATGGCCTTATTTGACATTTTGTTTTCAAGTTCGAGGCCCTATCTGACCCTTATCCCTTTTTCAAAAAATACATACCGGGATAACGTACTTAACAGAATAAATTCAACATCAAATTCGCACGGTTTACTTTTTACAACGTACTCCTTACCATCTTTGAACTTGGATTCATTTTATACATGTTTGATTTCTTCCTCAAGTATAGTCCATTCATAGGCATATCCATATATGCATTCATTTTTGTTTATGGGCTCGAGGGGGATTAGCTGTGATACTACAACTCAAAAGATAGTTGTTGACCTTGGTGGAGTATCTCTCAAAGTGATGCTGTTGGTGAAAATGGACCAAATTGCTGAGATTAAGTATCCCAAGTAACGCGCTAATGTAGTTGTTCATCAAACACTTAGTGTGGTATTAGTTGAACCAACAACTATGTCCTCTTCTTTTCGAGGCCTGCCAAGGGAAGGGAATTCAGACTGATTCTTAACTTTTGGAATTACAACTTTCAATTCTTCACATTGTTCAACCATTGTCAAGTCCAAACATGCAACTAGAAACAATGATGTAGATTCGGGCATGGGATTAAATAAGAGGGAAATCATGTTGTTACGACTTGCAGAGACAAGACTTTGACAATTATAAAATACACAGAGTTAAGACATTTACAAGATCAGACCAACTCAGACTAGATTAGACCACACCAAATCAGAAAATGCAGTCCAGGTAAAAACATCTGTAGTTGTTCATCAACTAATGGAAAATTTTGAAATTCTATATGGGGTGGTCGCCCCCTAGCTAAAATTCATCCTTGATTCAAGTTGATTTAAGATGTTCTTAGTTAGATTGAAATTTTCTGGTCTGATTTGATCTGTTTCAGTCTGGTCTTGTTTGTTCTAAACTGATCTGACCTAATCTCGCAAATCTCTGGTCTATGTGTAGTTTACAATTATCGAAATTTGGTCTGCTCTGTTTAAACCTAGTCTATGATTAAAATAAGTCGAAGCAAAAACATCCTTAGAATGACAATTTACTTTTGTCTATGTTGCTAACACGGTAAAGTAGTGTGTAATTGAACTTTACACTTAATTTTTAGAGGATATTGAACTTTGCACTCCTTTTTAATGTGTCCACTACATCACCTTTAAAATTATGAAAGAGTGGGGCGCAAAGTCAAATGAAGGGATAATGAATTAGAGTGCATACATTAATCATTTTGAAAAGGAAAATTGACAAAAATAATTTGAGCTTTGATTGATCTTCTCATAATAATCTCACATTTATGTAATCCCAGAATATCCCACTTTTGCATCCCATCTTCTTTCGTTGAACCCTGACCGGTTGATGACCGGTTGCATCCCATTTACTGTACACGGTTTTTTTTGCCTTTTCTATGTAAAACTTACATAAATAATCTCACCTTGCACAGATTTGCTCAAAACAGTGTCATGTTTCATTTGTTTTCTTTTTTCTCCCTAATTTTTTTCTTTCTTTATTTTTATCTAGATCTTTTTTATTCCCTTTACTATCATTTTACCTTATTTTCTTGGGGTTTTTGCTTAAATATTACTAATAAAAAGGCATGGACAAAAATATTACTTAGTGACTATAATAATGTTTAAATTTACATCACACGTAGTACTTACATGTAAGTTACTACGATGTAAACTTTGAATACAATTATATAGTTACTAATAATTACTAAGTATTACTTTTGTCCACTACAACCTAAAGAGTAATACTAATGGGATTTTTTCTATTTCTTTTTAATATTTATTATTCTATTTCTTATTCTATTAATTCTATTAATAAGAGACTTTTAATGGAAAATTTTCTCCCCAAATGCATGTTTTGTCATTTTCTCTATCTTCCCATATATTTGTTCCATTTCCCTTTTTATGTTATATTTTCATCCCCCGTTTTCTTCAAGTTACTTTTTCTTCTTCCTTTTTTCTTCTTTCTTCTTTCTTCTTTTCTTTCTTCTTGTTATCTTAATTTCACCATCAATATGTTTTTTCTCCTTTCTTCATTATCATACTAGATTATGAAAAAGAAATAAGAATAAATTGAAAGGATGGAAAAAAGGAAAAAAAATGTGTCCAGGGATAAAAAAAGAGAGAAAAGTTTTATAGAGAAAAAAGAAAAAATGAAACATGAAATTGTTTTGAACAAATTTTTGAAAAGTGGGATTATTTTTGTAAGGTTTCAAAGAAGAAATAGAAAATATTGGATTATTCGGGTTAAATTTTCCTTTCGAAAATAGATTACAACGTCAATTTTTTATTTTTATTTTTCAAAAAATGAGATACAAAGTTCAATTTATCCTTTTCAATTTTTATTCAAAATGTAATCATTTGGTAGGACAAAGGGAATAAAATAGAAATGAATTTTAAATGGGTAACAGTGCACAATACAGTATCTTAGTATGAAGTATTAATACGCCACAACTGATGAGAAAACATGGATCCAGCGAAGAATTCGACCATCTTATGCTTCGTGGCAGGCTGCCTTTAATTTCCTTTTTCTCTCATTCCTTCTTTTCTTTTTGCCTGTTTGGTGAAAAGCAATTATGAAGGGTCGTAAGAAAACAAATAGTGATAGTAAGATTGTAGGGAAGACAAAATCAATCTTTTTCTTCTTCAATCCTTTTAGCCTTGCTGACGGAGTGGATATATTGCTGATGAGTATCGGCTTCTTAGCGGCGGTCGGCGAGGGGCTTTCCAGTCAGATCACGCTTCTCATCACGGGCATGTTGTTGAACAATATTGGCGGCGGCGCAAATGCTTCATCCACCGGCGGTGTTATTGACTCTTCCCTCATGAGCCAGGTCTTTTATTTCATTTACTCCGCCGCTTGAGCCCGTTTGGAAACACTAACATCGGTTTGATATAGTGAACACCCTTTTTCGAATAATTTACTTAACTAAAATTCTGATTGATTTTAAAATGAAACTTTGTATGCATATTTTACACTTTATGAATAACATACTTACAAAAATTCATTGAAAAAATCAACCGTGAACCACCTCAAACGACAGATGTACGGAAGGAAGGATGAACAACACTACACCAAAATTTATGTATAAAACATAGTGATTTTCAATCATTTATTTAAGTGTCTTTCTGATTCAATTTGAAGCTGAAATTTTGTTGACGTAATGTACACTTAATAAAGAACATTCACATAAAATTTCATAAAAAAATTCACCAAAAACCATATCAAACGGTGACGGGTAGACGGAGGGTCATGTCTAGACGGCTGGAAAGGATCTTAATTAATTAGTTTCTTAATTAGTTCAAAGAATGCTACTCCGTATAACACATTAACATTACAAGCTCAACAAAAGAAACCCAACTAACCACATGTATGATCATCATAATAAGACGTACAGTAACTAACTAAATAAAAAGCATATTATAAAAAAGTAACTAAGAAGTATCCACCAAGTTTTTAACATTGTAGGTTATAAAATCTTATTAATCTAAGTACGTAACTAATGTGCAAATTGAGACATGGAACGAAGGGAGTATATAGTTCACTTACGATTTTGCCAATTTAGTCCGGAAAGAAATTTAAAATTTACTATTTTTTTGCAAGAAATTTTACTTATTTTGTTATTATATAATGTAGCATGCGATATAAAGTTATTGATAAAAAAAATTGATTGAAGTCTAACTTAAAAATAAGAATTATGGTAATAATTGGAGAGTTTTTTTAGTTTATTATACAGTTGAACTAAAGCTTAACGTTCTTGATTTCACAATTTTCATGTTATGATTACCTCGATGTTTGAGGTCATGCTTAACGTCATTATACTCGCTATAGGTAGGGACGGATCCAGGATTTCTATTCAAGGGGGCGAAATTTTTCGGTAGTGTAGGGGGTGAAAAAAATTTCGTTAGTGTAGTGGGGTGAAATTTTTTTCCCTAGTGTAGCGGGGCTAATTTTTTCCGCTACTGTAGGGCTATGCGGCTAATTTTATTCAAAAAATGACATTAATACATACACATCCCCAATGACATTTAAATCTATTAAGTAGTACATTCTAAGTTTAAATTAGACGATGACAAAGACATCAACCAATACATTTTTAATAACTTCTACATTGTTTAACCTCATGAATCGGTTATTATTGAATTGTAATTTTTGTCCGGCCACCAAGGAGGGTGTTCGTGAGTCATGATTCATGAGAAGTTTTTTTAATATTACAATAGTAGTATGTATGATATTATTATTTTTAGAATAATATGCACCACACACACACACACATATATGGTGCATATTATATTTTAATATTTGTATTAATGCTATAATAATTTAAAGTTTATTATCTATGCAATAAATTATTTTTAGAAAGCAAGAAGTAAATGAATTATGTAATTTAATGTCAATAAACATTTATATTTTGGATTCATTTCACGTGATCTAAAAACTGTGTAATTAGTGTATTTGATATTTAATATTGTTTGATATATATTTTACAAAATCAAGTACTAGTTATCTAATAAAGATAATTAAACATTACAAAACTATGAATTCTTATATAATAAGTATCCTAAATCTTAAACAACGAGTTATTCTATTGTTTATTTGTTTAAGTTATGTAATTATTTTAGATGATTCTTCTTTTAAATCTTCAATTAAGTATTACATTATGTAACCCTATATATTAATTTTGAAAATTAAAAGCTAAGGGGGGCGAATCTAATTAAATTATGAAAGTTTTATGAAAATATTACATATATGGTAGAAAATTTTGAAAGTCCAAGGGGGGCGATCGCCCCCCGCGCCCCCCCTAAATCCATCGTATGTTTACTTGGTTCATTAGTTTTTTAGATTTAAACAATAAATTAAAGTTATAGCTAGGAAGAGTGGTCTTCTTGTCAGGCCGGCCTGACGGGATGCTCCGTCCGGCCGAGCCCCTTTGGGCACCTTTCCGGTGGAATTTTTTGATGATTTTTTTTGAGCATGTTCCTCATCAAGTCTAGTTTGTCCATACCAAATTTCAGCTCAAAATTCGATCGGGAAGACATTTAAATATTTTTTTGAAGTTGACTGCGTCAAAATATACATATAAAACCGCAGTCAACTTCAAAAAACTATTTGAATGCCTTTCCGATCGAATTGTGAGCTGAAATTTGGTATGGACAAACTAGACTTGATGAGGAACATGCTCACAAAAGTTCATCAAAAAATTCCACCGGGAAGGTCGCCAAAAGGGCTCGGCCGGACGGCTCTCCCGATCAGGCCGGCCTGACATGATGATTTCTCTAGCTAGGAATAGGTATAAAAGTTAATTAAAGAAAGTACTACGTAGGATCTAAAAGTAACGGAGTTAATGCTTTTTAATGAACAAGTAAACCGAGGGTGTCTTTGATTGGAAGAAATGGCGGATAGTGGGGCCGTTTGTTTTTTTGGCGGTTGGCAACCAAAACGCCAGAATACACGGCGTTTTCTATGTAAAATAGTTGCGTTTTGGCCAATCAGTTGGTTACCAAACGGAGCCTGTGTCTATCTTGAGACACCTAAGAGTTATGACTTGGAACAAATTTTCATCCTTCAAAACTTTGTGAAAAGAAGAAAGATGTGACATCATTACAAATTGATTGATTAAAAAGTAAAGTTGCAATTTTTTAATAGTCAAAAAAGAAAAGATTACGGGTATGTTTGGCACAACTAGCTGAAAAGATACTTTTGTGAGCTTTTTAGTAACTGTTAGCTTTTAGTGACTGAAAAGAACTTAAAAAGAAAAGGTGATAGCTGTTTGGTAAAAAGCTGACTGTTTGATTTAGTTCGGTTTGGTATACAAGCTGTTAGGACTAATTAATACTAAAAGTCACGAGCTTTTCTCAGATGCTACACTCGGTAGCATCTCAAAAAAGATCTTTTAATTTTTGAAAAGCTCTTAAAAAATGTCATGCCAAACATACAATTAGAGTCTTTTAAGGTCTTTTTAAAGAAAAGAGAAGCTAGAAGGCAGAGGCTTTTGTGTGCCAAACATGGCCTACAAAGTTTTAAAGAACAAATAGAATATGATTTAGTGGTAAATCTTACTTATTTCAAGTATGAAATAGAATAATGCTACTCCCTCCGTCCCATTTTGGTTGTCCTACTTTCCTTTTTGGGTTGTCCCAAAATGAATGTCTTGTTTCCTTTTTTGTCATGAAATATGTGGTTCTTATTAATTCACTTTATTCTACTCAAATCTTAACCACAACTTTTACTTTTCAATCACTTTATTAATAATCATGCCAAATTGAAAGTGGACAACCATTATGGGACGGAGGGAGTACATGTTAAACTCCAAGAAAGAAAAAGTATACATAATGAAATAAGGTGCATATTTAAAACAAAAGTAACAATGCAAGTACTCCGTAATAAATAAAAAGTGAAAAAATAAGAGTGGATTTTTAAAATTTCCTATATAAGAGTACTTTTTCAATCTTGGATAAGCATACCCATGCATGGTTTAGGCCGGCAATCACACTGCAGCTGGTTTCCACAGCCGTCGAAAATCCGCTGCAATCCGACTGCCGTTGCTGCAAGAATATGCCGCCGCTGAAAATCTATAGAATTCATACGCCGCCGTCATCAACAGATTTATCCGGTTATGCAAGATAACAATGAGATAAATAATTATATTAATTAATAAGATATGAGACATTACGGGTAAATGTTAATGTTTTGCCCGATTTTGGGTTGGCATAGACTCCTATTTAGAGCCCGTTTAATGATCCCCTTTTCGGCTTATTAGGCTTGTCAATAAGCTTTTTCACCAAACACGTAACTTTTGATTTTGCGCGGTGAATTTTGTAGTAAGCAGAAAATGTAAAGTTGAAGTTACTTTTCTGACTGTATTGACTAAAGTTATTGTGGATGATCATTTTAGCGATTTTTTCATATATTTTTTTATTTAATTTATTAATCAGAAATATTTTAAATATAATTTTTTCATGAATCAACAGAATCAACCAATACAGTTACTTCAGTCAGAACTTCATAAATTTCAGCATAATCAGTCAATTCACCCAATTCTAAAGTGGGTTTATGTGGTTGCTATTAATTGATAAGTAAGAATAAAGTAAGAATGATTGAGAGCCACACAAATTTGACCAAATATGGTATGGGACAATATTAGTGGAATTTCCTAAAAAGGTAAAACAGGACAATATAAGGGAGACGGAAGGAGTATGTTTTATTCTTATTAAGGACAACTACTTTAAAACTAAAAATACCCCTTCATTTAAATTTGTATATTCATTCTATTCTACTTTAAAACTATAATTCTCTTGCAGAAATTTCACAAAGGAAATAAATTAGGGCCTATTTCTTTATCATTTTCTATGAACTACCATTGCCCACTCCCAGGCCTTAAATTAGGGCATAAAATTGGGGGAAAATTGGTCACTCACGGTACACTTTCGCCTAATTTCCGGAATTAAAAACATACTCCCTCCGTCTCTCTAACTTTGTTCCGTTTTATCTTTTTCGATCGTCCCATTAAATTTGTTTCATATCATATTTGGTCATATTTGGATGATTGCAATTCATTCTTAATTTATTGACATTTTATCAATTTAATATCAACTACATAATTTCATTTTTATATAAAAAATGTGTCACACCCTCTTGTCATAAACATAATGGGATGGAAGTTGTATTTATTACGGAGTAATTTTTTATCGAAGTACAAGACATATTTGTAAAGTATGAGGGCTTAAACGACTTTTTCAGTATAATACAGAGACTTATTTGATAGTTTTCCCTAATTAATATTCACGTAAATTTTGATGTTTTTTGTTGTTTCAGAATGCGTTGTATTTGTGCTACATGGCATGCGCCCAGTGGTTGCTTTGCTTTCTCGGTGCGTTATTTTATTTGTATTTTACTTTATACAGAAATTGTTTACTCCTTTTAAATCATCATTACTTTTATTTTTAGAAATAATTACATATATATGACTAAAATGAAAACTATTTATAAAAATGTGATTAATGACTAGAGTAGTAATGAAATCATGGTAACTTATGTTCAATTTTTAAACTTAAGTTACTGTGACCCTACATTGTAACTAATTTAATAGTCATACTTTTGTAAATAAGTTTACATTTTTTGTGATATTTCGGACCTATATAAAAAAACCTAAAAATGTAAAAAAATATCATAGAAATTAAAGAAAAAATCATAAAAAGTTGCTACCTCCATCTCACTAACATTGAGAGTTGAGACATGAGAAGATGATTGTTATTAAGAAAAAATAGGTTAATGTGATTGATATTAAATTAATAAGGTAAGAATGATTTAGAATCACACAATTTTTTCATATAAGATAATCTTAATGAAAAGGATAAAAAGGAAAAGACGAGACAATCTTAACGGAACAGAAGAAGTATTAATTTTGATATAATTTTTTATGAACAGGATTAATTAGAAAGAGTAGAGAAAAATAATAAAAATACTCCAAACTTCGGAGGGGTGTGGGATGAACACCCCAAACTTGAATACCCCAAAGACCGTCATTTTTTTTTGGGAAAAGGTTCAAATAGGCCCATGTACTAACAAAAAAAAGGTCAAATAAGTCCTTATTTAGGAGGCTCTGTCCGGCCGTCTCTATTTGGGGTGGTTCCCGGTGGAATTTTTTGATGAATTTTTTTGAGCATCTTATTCATCAAGTCTAGTTTACTCATACCGAATTTCAGCTAAAACTTCAATCGGAAAGGCATTCAAATGAATTCTTGAAGATAATTGTGCTTCTAACTGCGCAGTTATTTTCAAGAATTCATTTGAATGCCTTCCCGATTGAAGTTTTAGCTGAAATTTGGTATGAGTAAACTAGACTTGATGAATAAGATGACCAAAAAAATTCATCAAAAAATTCCACCGGGAACCATCTCAAATGACGACGGCCGGACAGAACCTCCTAAATAAGGGCTTATTTGACCTTTTTTGGTTAGTACATGGGCCTATTTGCACCTTTCCCTTTTTTTTGAAAATAGGATAGTCCTTTTTGAACAATCAATTAATATAAGTACCCCAAGTTTTATATAAAAAATTATCTTAACATCATGATCAAGTGCTTTTCTTTTATAGATGCAAATTTATAGTGTTAAGTAAATAACTTAAAATACTCTTTGATTTCACTCATACATTTGTCATTATTTCCCGTTGTTTAAATAGTAGAACGGATATAACTTGTTCAAAACCATCAGTTACTCAATTAGGAATGAACGAGTCTTATTTAATCAGGAAGAAAATAATGATTGTCCTGTTCAAACAAGTCTTATTTATCTATGTTTTAATCATATTTGAGAAAGTGTGTTTTTATCTTATAATAAGTTCATTGAAAATTGTATTAGAGGGGTATTGTTGGACAAGGACGGCGGAGAGGCAAGCCTCACGGCTAAGGTTAGAGTACATGAAAGCAGTGCTGAGACAAGATGTGGCCTACTTTGATTTGCTGAAGACAAACACATCCGATGTTATCACAACTCTCTCAAGCGATAGCCTTATTATTCAAGATGTTATCAGCGAAAAGGTTTTTAGTCCTTTCTCAATTCCACCACTAGCTTATTATATGAATTTATTATAATGCTTGAATAATTACAAAACATAGGCTTATCGCCAATTCGCCTCTCATCTCAGGCTATATTATCATCACTCCGTGCATCTCACTTCAACGAAACTTTCCTAAACAAAAGTTAAAATGGTGCTTGAATTGGACTTCATACTAAAGTTGTGTTTGCAAACCTAGACAAAAGAAAATGTTGGGTACACTTGTACCAATAAATTTTCATACTTTTTTACACAGTGTTTTGCATACTAAAATGTTGGATATTAGTTGCAACATTGAAATTTATACACTACTTATAAACTCTACTTAGACTACATTTTATTTATTAATATAAGTGATTTTTTTTAAAGTATCATTGAATTTATCTCATTACAAAGTTTCATATTCTAATTTTTTAATTTTTCTTTACTAATAAAGAATTAAATATAATGACAGTCAAAGTTGTGTGTTGGCAAACGTGAAAAAAAGAATATTGCAACTAAAAAGCTAGAACGGAGGAGGTATAATATTGGAAAGTTAGTTCCGTAGCACTATTTGTACACATTTTTGTACACTCACCCTTAAATTTATAAAAAAGGAAAACTTTTCAAGAGTTGTGTGTGTACAGTCAAATTAACTAGGTGTGTATACACGAAGCGCGATGGTAAAATAAATTCCCTCTGTTCACCAGAATATTAGGCTGACCCCAACTCTGGGGTGAAAAAGCTTTTTTGAGCTTTTCACCCTAAAAACCTCTCCAACCCATACTCCCATAGTATAGAGGGATGCCAAAGTGGGTAAATAGAACTTTAGAAGTGGGTATTGTAGTTTTTCACCGCGAGATAAACTTGAATGGTACAGCTCCGATGCGTGAAAGGATGAGTATTTGGTGGGGCCAGATAAAATGTAAAAACTCATTTTTTGTTTAAAGTTTTACTATGTATAACTTTTTTTATTTCTATTCCAATTTTTATAAAAAAAATATATCAAAATTCATAATTTTTACGATCTTTCATATAACACCAATGTAGCATATATATAAAGTTTAAAATAATATTAAGGAGTAAGTTTTTTTAAATCTAAAATTTTTTAGATCCAACATTTTCTTAAATAGATTCAAATAATAAAAATAAGATCTCATTGTTAAAATATTTTGTTTTACATCTTTCAATTTTTTTTATAAAAATAAAAAAAATCCAAATGTAATCATTTTTACATCGGAATGTTTGACTTTTGAAATGATGATTATTCACAACAAAAATATTGAGAAAAAAAGATTTATAATAATAAAATTAACACTTTAATAAATAAAACTTTGCTGAGTGAATATATTGACAGTGTTGGATTGCAGTAAAATTTGAATTGACTGGATGAATATGTATAAAGTAGTGGAGAATTTGATTTTTAACGGGGTAAGGTTGCGGTTAGCCTTAACGTTCCTCGAATAACATGCATGCAAAATATTTCAAGCAATATGGTTAACCTTAATGGAGTAGTAGATTCAGACTACAGGCTGTGACTCTGTGAGTAGTAGATTCAGATTTGAATGTGAGTAAACTCAACGATTATTGGAATTAATTAACATATCGATTATCGAGCATAGTAAAAAATTATGGAACTAAAACCGCAAGCCTCCATTTACTTTACTCGTGATCACTACATTTATCTACTATTTGTAATACGTAGTATTTCCTCTCGTTCTTAATTAACTTTACACTTTTCATTTTGGGTCGTCCCATATTAAACTTAACACTTCTTTTTCTACACCAAAACAGTGTCAAACAGTGCACTCTACAGTAAAATTTCTTAATCTTTGTGAAGTCAAAGTGTCAAGTTCATTAAGAACCGGAGAGAGTATAATTCTATATCCATTATGACGTCTTTTATATTGGTCAAATGAGATTATTGGAGTTAATTCACAATAACACCTGCATAATTGTGAAACAGGTACCAGTGTTTGTTGCAAACATATCAACATTTATTGGGGCTTATTTGGTTTCATTCATAATGCTATGGAGGCTAGCTGTGGTTGCACTTCCATCTGTGTTGCTTTTGGTGATTCCAGGCTTTATGTATGGGAGAACACTTGCAGCAATAGCAAAAAAGATGAGAGTTGAGTACAGCAAAGCTGGTAACATTGTGGAACAAGCCCTCTCTTCCATCAGAACAGTTTACTCATTTGTGGGTGAAAGTAAAACCATTGAGAATTACTCCAAGGCTCTCCAAGGGACGGTAAAACTTGGCCTAAGGCAAGGCCTATCAAAAGGCCTTGCCGTTGGGAGTAACGGCGTGGTTTACGCAATATGGTCTTACATGTCATATTACAACAGCCGATTGATCATGTATCACGGCGTTCGGGGTGGCACTGCTTTTGCCGTTGGCGCTGCAATAACAACTGGTGGATTGTAATCACCTCTTCCTTTTAATTCCATTTCTGTCATTACATTTTTCAGTTTTAAATTTCTTGCTTTTAAATTATTCTTCCCATTTATAGTAGTGATACTTTTGATAGTCCAAAGATTTTGGAAATGACATGCATGTTTTATACTTATCTTTGAACTATTCCATTTTAGTCATTTGATTATTGTTTTATAACAACACTTTTGGTACGGGGAAAGAGTCGGTTTGGTCCTCGAAGTTGCATAAAAGGGGTCAAACAAGTCCTTATAGAGAAAATTCTGTCCGGACGTGCCATTTGAGGCGGTTCCTGGTGGAATTTTTTGATAATTTTTTTGAGCATCTTATTTATTAAGTCTAGTTTACTCATACCAATTTTAAGCTAAAAATTTAATCGGAGAGGCATTCAAATGAATTCTTGAAGATAACTACGCTTTTAACTGCACAGTTATTTTCAAGAATTCATTTGAATGTCTTCCCGATTGAATTTTTATCTTAAAATTGGTATGAGTGAACTACACTTAATGAATAAGATGCTCAAAAAATTTCATAAAAAATTTCACCGGAAACCGCCCCAAATGGCGACGACCGGATAGAACCTCCCATATAAGGACTTATTTGACCCCTTTTATGCAACTTCGAGGACCAAACCGACCCTTTACTCCTTTTGTACCATCACCATTCTTGAGAGTAACTTGTTGTTCATTTCTGATATTGAATAGGGCATTTGGATCAAGCTTGTCCAATGTGAAGTACTTCTCAGAGGCAAGTGCAGCATGTGAACGAATGATGGAAGTTATAAAAAGAGAGCCAAAGATTGACTCAAACAACATGGATGGACACATAATGGACCATGTTTCAGGCGAAGTTGAATTCAAGCATGTCGAGTTTGCATATCCATCTAGACCTGAAACCGTGATCCTAAAAAACTTCAACTTAAGAATTCCAGCTGGCAAGAAAATGGCACTTGTCGGAGGTAGCGGGTCCGGGAAGTCAACAACGGTCGCGTTGTTGCAGAGGTTTTATGATCCACTTCGAGGAGAGGTTCTTCTTGATGGAATATCTCTTGATAAGATCAATCTGAAATGGCTAAGGTCACAAATGGGATTAGTGAGCCAAGAGCCTTCTCTGTTTGCCACTACAATTAAAGAAAACATAATATTTGGGAAGGAGGATGCATCCATGGAAGATGTCATTGAGGCTGCAAAAGCTGCTAATGCTCACAACTTCATCTCCCAGTTGCATCAGGGCTATGATACCCAGGTAGAGTAGTCAGACAAATTTGTTTCAATAATTCTATACAACAATAAATGGTATTTTTCCATGACTATTACTAAATTAAATTCAAAAGATAAAATATGACTTATTTTAAAATTTTCAAAAAAGTGACATATCAATGACTAGTTCTCAGTGACTCATCATCTACCAATGACTTGTTACTCTAAAATACACTACAGTGACTCTTGTTCAATTACTCGTACACAATGACTAGTCATATTTTGTCCAAAAATATAACTAGTCATATTTTTTTCCGATGAAACTTTGTTAGTAATATACATGTCATATTTTCTCGATTAATATATTACTACAACAAAGATAACCATAAAAGAAAGACTTTTTGTACAGAGTTATCATGGTTATGTTTAATTTTACACTAGACCGACAATAATATACTTATAATAGTTTAACTAGTCACATTTTTTGCACAAATTCTACTTTAGTAATATTTTGGGAAAATCCCAAAAATACGTGCAGTAAAGTAGTAAGCAAAAAAAGCAAAAAATGCAAAAAATGTGATTCTTAATATGCATTGACCTTAATAGTAATTATTGTGTTCATAATTATGTTCAGTTTTGTACTGTACCACATAAGTATACTTATAGTAAATGTAGTCACATTTTTATTCATAAATTCAAATTCTCTAAAATGAAAGAACCCTTACTTTAAAAATTCATTCATGTGTATATTCAATTACGTAATGTGACATTCTTAACAGGTAGGAGAGAAAGGGGTCCAAATGTCTGGAGGGCAAAAGCAGAGGATAGCAATAGCGAGAGCCATAATTAGAGCACCAAAAATATTCCTTCTTGACGAGGCCACAAGTGCACTTGACCTGGAATCTGAAAGGTTAGTCCAAGAAGCTCTAGACAAAGTTGCCTTAGGGCGCACCACAATCATCATAGCCCACCGTCTCTCTACCATCAGAAATGTAGACCTTATATCAGTTGTACAAAATGGTCAAGTTAAGGAGATTGGCTCGCATTCCAATCTTATTGAAAATGAAAATAGTATCTACAGCTCTCTTGTTCGCCAACAAATACCAATATCCCAAGACATTTCGAGCGATCATCACATTATTACTACCAACAAAGAATTAGTAGTAGGACCGCCATTATCTATCACAAGTATGGATTTGCAAAGAGGCTGTGCCAAATTTGAAGACAAAGGGTTACCTCAAGCCCCATCATTTAGACGTCTTCTTGCGTTGAATTTGCCAGAGTGGAAGCAAGCAACATTGGGATCTATAGGGGCAATGTTATTTGGTGCAGTTCAACCGACGTATGGATTTGTGTTGGGGGCAATGCTATCTGTATTTTTCCTACCCACCCATGCTGAGATTAAGGAAAAGATCACAATTTACTCATTGTGTTTTTTGGGTTTATCTGTTCTGGCTATCTTGCTCAGTATAGTGCAGCATTACAATTTTGCGATCATGGGGGAGTACTTAACCAAGAGGATGAGAGTGAAAATATTATCCAAGATTCTTACTTTTGAAATCGGATGGTATGACAAGGATAACAACTCCACTGGTGCAATTTGCTCTAGACTTGCTACAGATGCCAATGTGGTATATATTACTTTTTGTTTACATATTATATCATTAAAACTTAAGATTTCTACTCACATGGTCCAACTCACTTCAACATGATGAAAAAGTTTGTCTATGCGATACAGTCGAAACCGATAAATATCTTATGTGAAACAGTTAAACGATCGTCCTATCCAAAATGGTTTAAACAAGTCGAGAGATTTGTGTCTTTATTATTGATTGACTTTTGCGATAGTTTAGCGTGTTTTGGCTTAAAAAGAACTCGTATAACACTTTTATAACAATAACAGTTGGAAGCCTTATATATTGCAATGCCACAGGTTAGATCTTTGGTAGGTGATCGAATGGCTCTACTTATTCAAACATGCTCATCCGTAATTGTATCTTGCACGCTTAGCCTAGTTATTGCATGGAGGCTTGCATTGCTGATGATGGCTGCACAACCCGCCATTATAATGGGATTTTACTACAGACGTGTTTTCTTAAAGAATATGTCACAGAAAGCTGCGCAAGCTCAAGGTGAAAGCAGTAAAATCGCAGTAGAGGCTGTTACTAATGTCCGAACGGTGACATCATTTTCATCCCAAGCCAAGATTCTCCAAATGCTAAAGAAATCTCATGAAGGTACATAATTGTAATGTTTTTATATATGTTGGTCGGGATACATAGTAATGAAATTCAGAACTAAATGGGAATCACTGAGTTGTGTTATAAGATACTTGGGTCAGACTATACTAAAAGTTTAAGAATGAATTTCAGTTAGATGGCAGGAAAAATTAGAACCAATTAATTAACTAGATTAACTTGAGCTTTCTCAAAAAAATCCCATTTAATCTTTTGAATACTGTGTCAACGCCACTTTCTATACTCCATTTGACTTTTTCTGATTTAGTTAATAAAGAATTACAACAAAGACATGTGTAGTACTAATTTATTAAGTTTTGATCGTTTAGTCTAACCACTATTATAAAAGGGACACTATATATTTCTTCAAATATGAATTTTGGCACAATGTTGAAAGACAAAAAAATGTGGTTGTGACAATAGTCCAAATGACCAGTGATCAAAAGTATCATATTCATAAAAGTAAATGGAATAAAAGTGAAAAAACAAAAAATAATGTCATTTGTGTTTCTACAATAATAGCTAAAAGATTAAAGATGTTTCACTTAAGGGATTTCAATATCAGATCATATTTGATTAGATCTTAACATAGCAAACTTACAAAAACATACTACCTCCGTCCCAAAAAGGTTTGTCAAATTGACTTTTCATGATCAATAGTAATCAATGTTGACTAATAACATTTTTAACACGAAATTATTTTGAATATGAAAAATTTATTAAAGTGTTCTTTATTCAAAATATTTTCGTAAAGACAAAATTTATAAAGTATATATATACAAATATAATAACTAAAATCATTATCCAATGCTTACCGTCATTAATCAAGAAAAGTCGACAAACTTTTAGAGGGAGGTGCTACAGCACTATATCAGACCTTAATATATCAGAACTAAGCATACAACTTTAAACTTTAGTCTAGACGTTAACAACTTTCACCAAATCATTTCACAATAAATTTTTCGGTGTGAAAATAACTTAGAAGAGAAAATGTTTAAAAAAATACACAAAATTTTACTCACAGTGGGAAGCAATTTATGTCTAGCAGGTACAGTTAGAGATGGTGTTCGACAGTCATGGTGTGCAGGCATTGTTCTTGCAATATCCACGAGCCTCATAACCCTCAATGTAGCTTTGGCTTGGTGGTACGGCGGGAAATTGGTAGAAAATGGCCTCATTCCCGCCAAATCTCTCTTTCAGACATTCTTCATATTGATCACCACCAGTCGTGTTATAGCAGAAGCTGCAACCATGACCAGCGACCTAGCCAAGGGCTCAAACGCGGTAAGATCCATTTTCGCTGTCCTGGACCGAGAAACCCGGATAGATCCGGAAGACCCGAACAGCTACATTCCCGAAAAAGTGGTAGGAAATGTGGAGATCCGAGATGTCCATTTCACGTACCCGGAAAGGCCCGATACTTTCATCTTCAAAGGCTTCTCGATGGTAATTCAGGCCGGGAAAGCAACCGCATTAGTTGGGCCGAGCGGGTCAGGAAAGTCCACAATAATAGCCCTAATCCAGAGGTTTTACGACCCGGTAAAGGGCTCAGTGAGAATCGACGGCCGAGATTTAAGATCCTACAATCTACGGTCTTTAAGGAAACACATCGCGCTAGTGAGCCAAGAGCCGGCGCTGTTCGCCGGAACCGTACGGCAGAACATTACGTACGGAGTCTCCGAAACTGCCAACGAGGCAGAAATCGTGGCGGCGGCGAAGGCAGCAAACGCCCACGCGTTCATCGACGCGTTGGAGCACGGATACGACACGTGGTGCGGCGACAGGGGAGTGCAGCTCTCGGGAGGCCAGAAGCAGCGCGTGGCCATCGCTCGCGCGGTTTTGAAGAACGCGTCGGTGTTGTTACTGGACGAAGCCACGAGCGCGTTGGACAGTGAATCTGAGCGGTTGGTTCAAGAAGCGCTGGACCGGATCATGATTGGTCGAACCAGCGTGGTCGTGGCGCACCGGTTGAGCACCATTCGGAATTGTGACGTGATTGCGGTTTTGGACAAGGGAGAACTGGTGGAGGAAGGGACCCACTCCTCATTGTTGGCTGAAGGCCCGAGTGGGGTTTACTATTCCTTGCTTAGTCTTCAAAATCCAGTGTAGTAAATTATTTTCTTACATGTAGCCATTTATTAATGTGAAAATAAAAAAAAAACAGAAATTACCCTAAATAGGAGTAAAAACGTTTTGAAATTCCAAAATAGGAGTATCATGTTTTTTATTCCCTAAATAGGAGTAATCTGCCAAGTTTGGAAAAAAATGCCATGTTTAAAGCCTTGTAATTTCCAAACTTGGCAGAAATTTACTCCTATTTAGGGAATAAAAACATGATACTCCTATTTTGGAATTTCAAAACTTTTTTACTCCTATTTAGGGAATTCTCTCAAAAAAAATACATGCACCACAGTCCACCAATATGTAGATTATATTGTGTTCAAGTTTAAAGTAATAACATTTCTTTTAAAAGGATAGTCCTTCATTGAGAATGAGAAAAGTAAAAAGTAAAGTGTGAAGTGTCTGGTAATACCAAAATCGGCTAAATCAGCTGATTCTGCTGAAATTTATGAAATTTTGGCCAAAATGGCGGAATTGATTGGTTATGCTAATTTATTAAAAAACTATATTTAAAAAATATTTTATTAATAAAATAAAGAAAAAGTGTATGTAAAAATAGCTAAAATGGTCCTCTACAGAAGCTTCAGACAATACAAAAAAAAATTAATTTCAACTTTATTTTGTCTTATTATTACACAATGAATTATTATCTTATTTGATTCCAAACTATCATCAAATTCACAAATCTATCATATTCTTTCACTTTTATTAAAAAAGACTCAAACTACTTCATCCTTTTAAACAATTATGTTGTTCTTTTTTTTTTGTTTTTTCATAAATACCCATCTTTATCAATACCAATAAGATATACTCCCTCCGTAACAAAATATCTTCTCACTTTCCTTTTTCGTCTGTAACAAAAAAAAAATCTTCCCATTTCTAAATCTTCTCATCATACCCTAATAATTCTGAAAATAATACACTATTACAACTACTTTTTTTAGATTTATCCTACGTTCCATCACATTATTTCACTATCTTCCCACCATACCCTCGATAATTCATATCTTCTTTCACTATTCTTAACCTACCTACTTTTGAAATGAGAAAGTTTTTAATTTATGGAGGGAGTAAGCAATACAAGTTTGTGAGCTTAAAACTAGAATGAAGTGAAAAACATGAAATATAAATATGATTTTTTCTTAAGTTTTACTAATTCATCAATTAAAAGTATAATTGTGAGAAATGTTGAAGTATGAGTCTTTTTTAAATAAAAGAAAAAGTATGGGATAGATTTGTGAATTTGATGATAATTGAGGATATATTTAGCTAATAATCCATGTCCCAATATTAACTCCCGTTTGACTTTAAACGTAGATTTAAAAAAAATTGTGGTTAAAAGTTATGCAGAAGAGTGAAATAATATGAATTACAATTTTTTATCATAAAACGAAAATAAAGTTTTTTTAAACAGATGAGAAATGAAAGAATGTAAGATAATGTTGTGACACAGATCAGAGATTATGAAAGATTATTTGTGTCTAAAGATGATTGCTCGAGCTTGTATATATGTTTTTTTTTGCATATTTAGGGATCAAATTAAACCAACAAAATCCTGTTTGAGTGAACAAAATACGGTCTTATATAAATTGATTGTACACGGTACATCAAGCATTGCCCTTAACTAATTATGGAGCCGTGCATTTTTTTCTTTCATATTACCATTTGAAAGAGAGTACCATAAATTTGGATGATAAAAGGATAAGAATAACTGCTTTTGAAGACAAAAATATATACTTCTTCCGGTCCAAAATAAATTTCACACTTTGACTTTACGGTTTTAATAAAATACGTAGAATTTTTGCTTTTGATTTTCACATTATACCTCTACCAAAAATAGATTAGATGTAATGTAAGAGAAAAAATGGGTATAAAATAGGTAATAAAGTAAGGGTATAAGAGTAACTTTATATTAAAAGTTTGTCAAAATTAGAAGTATGAACTTTATTTTAGACATATCCAAAAAGAGAAGGGTAAAATTTATTTGGGGCCAAGGTACTAACAAAGAAGCCCACAAACAGGCTGCCCACAAACAGGGACGGATCCAGGATTCTGAGTCAAGGGGGGCGAAATTTTTCGTTAGTGTAGGGGGTGAATTTTTTTTGTTAGTGTAGCGGGGTGAAATTTTTTTCCCTAGTATAGCGGAGCGAAATTTTTTCGCTACTGTAGGGCTATGCGGCTATTTTTATTCAAAAAATGACATTAATACATGCACATCCCGAACGACATTTAAATCTATTACATTCTAAGTTTAGACGATGACAAAGACATCAACCAATACATTTTCAATAACTTTTACATTGTTTAACCTCATGAATCGGTTATTGAAGTGTAATTTTTGTCAATCAAGGAGAGTGTTGGTGAGTCATGACTCATGAGAAGTTTTTTTAATATTACAATAGTAGTATACTAGTATGTATGAGATTGTTATTTTTAGAATAATATGCACCACATACACACACACACATATATGGTGCATATTATATTTTAATATTTTTATTAATTCTATAATAATTTAGAGTTTATTATCCATGCAATAAATTATTTTTAGAAAGCAAGAAGTAAATGAATTATGTAATCTAATGTCTATAAATATTTATATTTTGGATTCATTTCACGTGATCTAAAAATGGTGTAATTAGTGTGTCTGGTATTTAATATTGTTTGATATATGTTTTACGAAATCCAGTACTTGTTATCTAATAAAGATAATTAAACATTACAAAACTAGGAATTCTTATATAATAAGTATCCTAAATCATAAATAACGAGTTACTCTATTGTTTATTTTTTTAAGTTATGTAAATTATTTTAGATGTTTCTTCTTTTAAATCTCCAATTAAGTATTACATTATGTAAGACTATATATATTAATTTTGAAAATTAAAAGCTAAGGGGGGCGAATCTAATTAAATTATGAAAGTTTTATGAAAATATTACATATATGGTAAAAAAAATTGAATGTCCAAGGGGGGCGGTCGCCCCCCGCGCCCCCCCCTAAATCCATCCCTGCCCACAAACTCATTGTTGTTGTTGGCTAGCTAACTGGCGACCGTTGTTTAGGTTTAAGAATAATCAACTGATCTGTTGGCATTAATTGATTCCATTGAAAAGATTCCCCTGAGATTAAGCGGCCATAATTAAACTAATCAGTTGGAGTTATATGTCTGAAAGCACAATTAGGGGAGCCATGAACTCCATTCTCTAGTGGAAAGTGAATAAATTGATTCCCCGACAACTAGACTTCGTTGATGGCCGGGTGAGTGCAGAATAAACGATGTTTGACGTTTGATTCACTCATTTGTACTCTATTTGACAAGCTACTCGGTTGATTTTCACACATTTTAAGGAAATAAAGTTACTGAGGTGTAAATTTTACTGTTTTGACACTGTTTTGATGTAGATAATTTGTCAAATAAGAAAATGGGAAGTTTATTTTGGGACATCCAAATAAGAAAAGTGTAAACTTATTTCCGGGACGGAGAAAGTATGTTTTATCATTCGTCCAAAAGGTTGAATCACCAACTCCAATAGCCCTCACGCCCAGATCCAACAAGACTTATGACACGTTTTATATCACAATGACTCGATCAACCCAATGATGTAATGTGTATGTTATATCAAAGTATCAAACAATAAGTGAGTGCACAAAATTTACACACAATTGACACACATTTATACGTAATTACATGTGCATACCAATAATTGTTGCACGAGTTGTCCGTGAACACAAAGTAGTTGAGGGTATATTGTTTACACATTGTCTGTATGTGCAGACAATTGCGTACAAATGTGCACCAAATGTGGATAAAATTCTATGTACACACAATCTTTATTTATCAAAACCGTGCCTATGTTTTAGTTGGACAGAATTACCGGGGAATTAAGATCATTACAAGAAAATATGAGATAAATAATTGGATTGATATAAAAGAGAGAATGGAATTAATAAGTTCTAATAAAAAATCGAAAATAGTTTGCAATTTTTTTTAGAATATACACTACTTGATTGTATTCTTAATGTAGAAAATCCGGAGATACTTTCTACAAAAGTTTGGAAAATGCTAGGGGTACACAAGTTGTACACAACTTGTACACACAATGTTGGTCACAGACAATTGTTACGGAGTTGCCTGTGACCATAGACAAGAGTTGTCTGTATACACAGACAAATTTTGTCTGTCTCCACAGACATTTACTTTTTTGTAAAAAGTACTTGTCAGTGTCAGGCGGCTCTCAGTGTATTTTTTACAAAAAAGTAAACGTCTGTGGAGACAGACAAAATTTGTCTGAGTACACAGACAACTCTTGTCTGTGATCACAGACAACTCCGTACCAATTGTCTGTGACCGACATTGTTGTATACAACTTGTGTATCCCTAGCATTTTCCAAAAAGTTTAGAGGAAGCTTGATTCGAATCATTTGTTACATTGATTGATCAGGTGTGAAAAAGCTTCATCCAACGCGGGGTACTTATTCGCAAATTCGGAATGAATAGTTGAATTCTTCAAAAATCACATCACATACTAAGAGACGGTTTGACAATCCAATTTTTCGTTTTATGAAGCTTATCATCCAACTTTTTTATCAAATACGTAGTACATGATTTTTGCTTTCGCATACTGAATTGTGTAATAAGCAGAAAAAATAAGATTAGAGTTACTTTTCTGGCTGTATTGGCTGAAGTTACTGTAGCTGACCATTTTAGCTATTTTTACATATAATTTTTTCTTTATTTTATTAATAAAATATATTTTAAAAATATTTTTTTCTTAAATCAGCAGATTCAGCCAATGCAGCCACTTTAGTCAGAACTTCATAAATTTCAACAGAACCAGCCAAAACAGCCGATTTTGATGTTACCAAACGGACTCTAAAAGTAATTTTATAAGCGAAGTTCCCTAAAGAAAAGGGAACCACTTTTGAGCTATGTTTAAACAATTGATCAGGACCGGTGGGGTCAACCCGAAATCTGGCGACCCAAATCACAACTCGGTTCGATTAGTTAAAACTCGGAGTGGTCAACATCGGAAAAACCTGGCTGACCGGAAAAAACTCGGCCCAGACCTGACGCATACTCGGAAAATCCGGCAAACCAAAAAAACTCGATTTTGGTTGATTTTACCAAGAAGAAAGTGTTTTTGTTTTAGAATTTAAAAGCATTTTAACCAATAAAATTCCAATTTCAATACCCTAAAAAGAAAAAATATGCAATATATTTATATACTACTCGTACCTCTTTGTTTAAGAATAACAATCATGTCAAATTATATAATAATTGTACAAAACAAATAACAAGCAGAGTATTATTCTGATATGATCAAAATGTTATTTTGGAATTTTATGAGATTGTTTTAACTCTTTAATGCTAAGTATTGTCATCAATTGATTATTATGA